ATATATAAATATAAAATAGTTGTTTGGTAAGGTTCCCTGCATTTTTGTTTTTCAATAAAAGTCTTTTAACCAAATAAAAATAGCATTTACAAGAATTGAAGGATATGCATGTAAATCTTTCAAATAAATATTTGTCATGATTAAGATTGAAAATAAGAAGATAATCGGATTCCATTGCACTCTAACCATAAGACACGCAACGCAAGTACACTACCGGACTCGACTCATCAATTAATCATTGTTGACCATATAAAACGTCTTGTTATTTATATATATTGAAAAGATTCTTATAGTTTTCCTCACGGCGAATGCCTACTTTTTGTTTTAATCTCATATTTTTTAATCACTATACATGCATTAAAAATAGTACATACCATTCAAAGTTTACATAACAATTTGTATTATATTCACATTTGATTAGATGGGCACATCATAAGAATAATATTTTTAATACAGTTATTGATAACTTTTCATGTGGGATGTTCTGTCCCCTACAAAAGGAGTGCAATATATATATATAATATTTATGGAGGGCTTTTAAAAATTCAGGTGTTTGGCCATTTTCTTTGTATTTAAGATTCTATGGATTTGGCCTAATTTCATATACATTGCACTATTTTAATTATGTCATCAATAGTGTACTAAATTTTACGATAGCTTTTTCACAAGTTTTCCATTTTGCTTTTCCAAACGCCTTCGGAACACGACCAAACAAATGACACAGTGAACTTAATTAATACTGCAGAACCCTAAACCGTGATTCCATCGTCTTCCCCAAAGCTTTATGTCACCATCCCCAACAGTGGATCTGATTCCTGTGCGAAGTCATTTATTAAATGCATGATTCCTTCCCCACCTCCATCACCATATTAATTATTCATACAATCTGAACCATCCCATGTGGCCGATAACAATGACAAGCAAAGGAAAGCAACCCAGTTCAAATAAAAAGATTCAAGGAATCCTATATCTTACTCCGATGCCCAAACTTTATTCATAATTATTCAAAGTATCCTATAGTTATTGGGCTTTGATTCTTCCAAGAATAAGTCACGTGTTATACCTCAGATGGTCCACGTGACAACCATCTTCTTCGCAGCCCCACATGAGATTAATGATTTTAAGGCCGAAAGCATCAAAGATCTATTTAATTTAAGCAGAAAAGTTAGTTAGTAGACGCCACCCAACTGTAGGCTCCACCAAAAGCTTGACTTTCAGTTCTTAATCAGTGTGAAGAAATTTCATTACATTGAGTATTTAACATAACAAATTAAACAAACTGGTCTATGTGAACAATCAATTGGCCGCCTTTCCTTGTCAGGAAGATCGCAATCACGTGAACAAAATCCTTTCTTGCTTGACCTGCGGGAAAGACCTGTGGAGCACTGAGAGAGAAGAAGTAAAAGCTAAGATTTCAATGGAGTTTTTAGGTTTGCACTGTGGGATATAATGAAAAGGCAGACATTTTTGTTACTGAAATCACAATCAACACAGAAAATTCAAGGATTAAAACCATTCATTCTGCTTGATATTGCTGAAAGTATTTACATTCATATTTACAGCATTTCAGCATCCCAGACACGGTTAAATAGATGAAACAAGAGGAATTTTCTGTTTACAAGACTTCACCTAAAGTATTCCAGATCCATGGGAGCCATAAGATGGCTTCCCTGCCTTCAGAACTGGCTGTGTAAGTGATAAATGTGAGAGAATAATGAGATTATGTGCAGAGATGAGGTAGGATTACATCTAAGAGTAGGATTTGGTGAGACCGAAATTACAAAAAGATCTGGATTTGAACAGTCCGCTAAAGAGGAACCGCGTGGGAGACTCTTGGGGAGGAGATCTGGAAACCTCTTTCACTTGAAGCACGGTCTGCCCAATTGCTTGCCGTATGGCGTCTATTATCTTCGCATCGACTTGGTTTCCCGTGGCATCACGAACATAAAATGTGTTGATTGCTTTGCCACCTTTGGTTGAAACTTCAGCTCTCGTTACTGTAAGGCTGTTCTCACGGAAGATTCGTGTGACATCCGACAGCAATCCAACTCTGTCATTTGTGCACAGCTCAAGCTTCAAACCCTGAAGAGCATATTAACAAAAGAGAATGGAAATTTACTTTATTTTTTATGATGTATAACTGATGAGCATAATTCAACTACTTCAGCTTATAGATAAGAATAAGCCCACGGGATTCACAGGGAAGAATATGAACTTACATAAATAGCATAAAGACATGCTCTTTATAAACTCGTAAGAATGCATAGACAATTTGAAGCTTAAAAAAAAGGATGATAATGCAAATGGAAGTAAAGTCTGAAGCTTTATTGTAGCCCACATACAAAAATAAAAGCAACAAGGATGCTGATGATGCCTAGAAATGAAACGAAATCCCATAAACATAAAATAAAAGGGGCATTTACATACATACCACCCAATTCCTATGTATATATCTAAAATTTATTGTTTTACATTTATGCCACCAAGCCTATGCATGAAAATGTATATTTCACTTTTTAAAAGTTAAAATAGCATTTTTTTAAAAGGAATATTTGCAAATATACCACTCAATTCTCTACATTTAAATATCTACCACCTAAAATTCAATTTTTACATACATGTCACCTTACCTATGCGTAAAAAGGTACATTTTACTTTTTAAAGGTTAAAGTGGTTGTATTTTTTATGTGATAAAAGATTTTAGTGGTATAAATGCAAAAAGCAAAGTTCGCGTGAGGCATGTAAATACCAAAGAAATGAGTGGCATGTGTGTAAATGAAAAATAATATCAGTGAAATACGGAAAGATTGTTTAAATTCAAGCATGAAAATATAGAATTTACTCCAGCCACATGAAAAAAATAAGACGAAATACCTCAGATACCCTCCTCTCTATCGCCGCTTCAAGACATTGAACAATTCTTTCCCTCTCAGCTTCAGAGTTAACAGGAAACCCATCGATGTGTCTGATATAGTACTCCTAAAGAACGTGAAGGGATAAAATACATAAGGACCTCTAAACTCACAATCAGAGAATGGAAATACAGTCAACAAGAAGACAAAACAAAGCTCTGCAAATTGCTTGATACCTGATAAGCTTCGGGGCCCTCCCCATCCGCATTTGCATGGAAAACCACATACTGCATATCCGTCAAAGTGCAAATTGTATCAAAAAGAAGTTTTGGTCTGTCCTTACACTGAATTGTCACCACTGAATAATCCTTATCGTAACAATTCACAACAGAAACTTTTGGCCTCATAGTCTCATCAACCAAGTTCTGACCAGTTCTCTGATAATCCCGATCTGCAAACATCATCTGGTGGAGCCTTCTCTCAGTATGGGTGACACCCTTTGAAATGGCAGTTTTAGCTCCTCTGGTCTTGTTGTTTCCTTCGAGGACATTACACAAGAGAGCTTTGATTCTAGAAAGCTTTTCCGGATCAGTAATTGCGGCACCTGTGACTTCATCTGTCACTTGCATCACAGCTGCTGCTCTGTTATTATGGGTCCATATCTCAGCAGTAACGACATTGCACTTTAGGTCTGTAAGCACGGCACTCACTTCTGAGAGCAAACCAGGCCGGTCAGTTCCAGTTAGCTCGATCGAAGTGTAATCAGATGAAGGTGCAAAGTCCACTGATCTTCTCCTAGAAGGTCGAAAAGAAAAATCTGCTCCCAAAGACTGCGGACATACAAAATTTGATATTTAGCTGGAATATTTATTAGCATGAATCAGGATTAGAAGTGGGAAAGAAAAATCGAAATAGCATGGAGATTCTACCTTCCGAATGCAATCCACAATCGATTTGATAGAAGCTTCATCCCTTATTTTCTTTCCCTCGTGATCCGTAACGTTGAAAACTGAAACCAAGGAATCGTGTTTGAATGAATGATTGAAAGATCAAAAAGTTTTCAAGCTGATCAAAAAAGTATTCGACGGGAATCTGATCTTTTACCGTCCATGACCCAACCACCATCTGATGTTATATAAGCTTTAATGATGATAAGATTTAGATCAGTGAGAGCCTGAACAACTTCCAAAAGGATCCCATACTTGTTTGCACTGTCAACCTGCCAGCAAAACAAAAAATAAATAAATAAATTTTCAGAACAAAGAAACTAACACCAGTTTTCAGAGACGAGTGCATGCAAAATCAGTAATTAAAGATTACCCGAACAACTGTTGCTCTGGCGCAGGATTCGTTGTCAATAACAACCCTAAACAGGGAAATCGATAAAAAAAAATGTTCAGATGGACAAAATCAGATTCATAGATGATAGTAATAGAGTGTTGATGCAATACCTCGGCGGGTTCATCCTCCTAATAAACTTCTCGTATTCATCATCACTATCCAACGAATCACAAGAAGGATACATCAGATCTAGCTCTGCGAAATAGTAGATTGTACTCAGAGAAGATTAACTACAGAATCCAGAAGAAAAGAACGGGGCATTGAAACTCAATAGATCATAGACTAATTAATCACAGAGTGAACAAAAACTATAACAAAAAGAAACGCAAAAAGAACCCTAGCCCTAGAAAATCACATCAACCGCAAACGTTCAAATCGAAAAGAATTCACAGCATTCAAAACCAGAAATTTGCAATCAACCAAAATAGCAATCTAGAGACACGACCACAATGAAAACCCCTGTATCATAATACCAAACCAGGAACAAAAATCAAGAAGAACAACAAAAGATAAGAACCGCACCCATCATCGGCAGCAAATCAGCCGCCTTCAACAAATAAAAGTGAGGACCTCCTATGTTCCAATGAAAGCGGAAAGCCCGACTCCAGTTATTCCCGCTACGATGGAAACCGATTTCCCGATTTCTCAAGTACCGAAGAAGAGAGATTCTGCAGACTCTCTTTCCTCGTCGACCAACCCTTCTATTTCGCTCTGTCGCTATGTCTCCGGCGAATGGTCGAATGACAACGAAACAATGGTTCTACGCCTCTCCTCCTGCTGCCATAAAAGACTCGCTCTCTCTCTCTCTCCCCCCCCTCGCCCTTTTCTCTCTCTTCTGTGGCGGTCGAGATGGTCATACGTGCGAAGGTCGGCGAGTCGTCCAGCACTCGCTGCTATCGTTTTAAAGGGAGGAATTAAGTACTATTAATGGTAATGCTTACTTGTTAATGCGAGGAATTAAGTACTATTAATGGAAATGCTATCGCTGCGCAGCGACTTTTCGATCTTGAGGTTCGGTAATTCATTCCAGAGACCACCGTTGGTTGAAAAAAAGAACGGGATTTTTATTCCCAACAAAATCATAATAATAATAATTTAATTCCCAAAGAAATCAAATGAGAACTTCATTGGAGGAATTTTCAATTATCTATATACACACAACAATAATTTTTTATCCCACTCGCTAAATTAATCTTTTTTCTTCATTATCTTTGAGTGTCATATTTTCATTTAATTCTAATAAAGTAAGATTATATTTTGTACAACGTGACCAAATTTTTTTAGGTCTACCTCTACTTTTCTTAATATAAGTCAAATCTAAAGCATCAAACAATTAACATTTAATGTGATCAAACCATCTAAGATTTCTCTTTTTTAACTTGTCTATGGCTATAGCTACATCAATTCTTTCACAGATACATTCATTTAACATTTTATCTCAAAGCTTAAACTCACTCATCCACCTAAGCATTTTCATCTTAGAAACACTTAACTTAGTTTTATGCTTTTGTTTAGAAGACCAACATTTTGCACTATAAAACATTACAGGTCTCACCATCATCTTATAATTTTTCCTTTTAATTCTAAGTGGTACTTGTATATCACACAATAGATCTGACGCACTCCTCCATTCAACAATTGAATTTGAATTCTACCAATAACATCCTTGTTTATATCAGTATCACTTTTAAATATAAACCCAAGATATTTAAACGATCACATCTTTTAATGATTTGATCACTCATTGTTACAACTCAATCATTATATATTTTACTACAAAATTTATGTTATATGTATTCAAATTTAGATATACTCGAACGAAGACCTTTAGACTCTAATCAAAAACTTCATAATTCAAGTTTTTTCGCAAGTCTATCTATCGTATACACATGAAGGATCACATCAGCAGAAGCATACACCAAGGTACATCGTCATGTACATGTCTAGTAAGTGTGTCAATAACTAAAACAATATATATATATATATATATATTGTTGCGAATATGGAAATTTGTCTACTGCTCAAATTGACATTTTTTCATGTTTGACAGCAAATTGGATTTGATACTTGAAATTAATTGTTCTTAATTTCTTCTATGATTTGTTGCAAATGAAAAAAAGAAATAATTAATGAGTTGCATTAATTATTTGATTAATTTCTTAATGGGTCTAATGCATGATGAAATTAATAAATAAATATGCTAGCTCCCCTTGTAATCTCCATTGAGATTTGGTTTCCCTTGAGATTTGGTATCCCAGACATCTCTCTTCGGCATTGGTAGCTTTCCAGGCTCTTCTTCTGATGTGCTTCGATTTGAAACTCTCAGGTAGAGAGAGAGAAAGAAGTAGAGGAGAGAGAAGAGAGAGAGAAATTCTTTCTTGTAATCATCGAGGCGATCGACTAGTGTATCCCTCGAAGTAATAAAATCCTCTGTAGCTCCGTGGGCGTGAGCAATATGTCGAACCACGTAAATCTGTGTGTTTCTGCTATGGTTTCTATTTGCAAAATTTTCTCGATTCGGTATTTCGCTTTATTGTCGTCGTTTTTCACAACAACATGTATCAGAGCTTTAGTTCGAGGCTGAAAGGAAGAACGATGGGCGGAGACGAAGTGATAACATCTGGGATCGAGAAGTTTAATAACACAGATATTGGTTACTGGAGGATACAGATAGATGACTACTTCAATGGGAAGAAACTTCATCTTCCGTTACTGAGGAAGCGAAAGAAAAAAATGGATTCCCTTCCACATAATCAAACTTGGGAGCTGACAGAACTTCCACAATGGAAGAAGGCATTGCACAATAAGTGTGTGTATCGGGTAAAAACTGTGCTAGATGACAGTAAGAGGTACAATGTTAGACTTTTTGAAAAGGACTTTCAGCAGAGGTAGGATATTGCCTATGCAGTGGGAGTTATATGCAGAAACATGAGTAACCCAGAAAAGAGCTTGGAGGTACAGAGCTATGTTGACGATGATATGTAGACTAAGGGTGTTACTCTTGAGAAACTGAAGTTCTGCTCGACTTCAGCTGGTCTTCTGGCATAAAGACCGGGGCTTTGAGTTGTAGAGGTGGAGGATTTCACGTTTGAAGAAAAGGACGATGCAACTAGTGGATGATGCAGCCAGTGTACGAGTCTTCAAGTGAGAGATTTGTTGTGAATATGGAAATCGATCCACTGCTTAAATTGACATTTTCTAATGTTTGGCAACAAATTGGATTTGATACTTGAAATTAATTGTTCTTAATTCATTCTATGATTTGCTGCAGATGAGAAAAGGAAATAATTAATGTGTTTCATTAATTATTTGATTAATTCTTTAATTGGTCTAATGACATGATGAAATTAATAAATAGGTATGTTAGCTCCCCTTGTAATCTCCTTCAGGATTTGGTTTCTCAGGCATCTCTCTTCGACATTGGTAGCTTTTCGGGTTCTTCATCTGGTGTGCTTCGGTTTGAAGCTCTCTGGTAAAGAGAGAGAAGAGAAGAAGAGAGAAGAGAGAAAGAGAGAGAAATTCTTCCTTGTAATATTCGAGGCGATCGACGGGCGTATTCCTCAAAGCATAAAATCTTCTGCAGCTCCGTGAACGTAGGCAATTTGTCGAATCACACAAATCTACCTTATCATGAACTTTTTCAAAATCAGTAAAAATTACATGTAGATCTCCTTACTCTCTTTGTACTTCTCCATCAAACTTCTAAATAAATATATAACATTCACAGTAGATTTGTCCAACATAAATACAAACTGGATATGAGAGATCTTTGTATCACGTCTTAACTTATCTTGATACCCCTCCAACAAATTTCCATAGATTGACACGAATCTCAAGGCACAACACTAATCTCGAGGTAAGCTTTTGAGTAAAAAACATTCTAGAGCTCCGATTTTAGTAAACTTACAGTTAAGCTGACATACTCCACAAGACTAACTCAATGCTACAAATATTAACTAAATCTAAACAAATCAAGTCTTAATCAAACCATTACACCGCTTTTGGAAGCTTTTTTAACACATTTGAATGGTCAAACATATGTCAAATTCAATGAGTTCATGGTCAAATTGACTCTCGATAAGACGAACCCAATGAGCCCAAAATTGTTCAATTTGACATTGTTATGACACTCAAATGTCCATCAAACGCTGACAAACTGAAGGAAGCCCTCTAAGTTGTCTGATCAAAATAATTTATATTCCTTCATTAATTGCATTTGTAACTCTATAAATAGAGCCCTACCCCTCTCATAGAGGGGCAGCCTGAGGAGGAAAGCTTGAGGATTAAGGAAGAGCTAAGGTTTGAGGTGTTGAAGTCCAGCATCACTTTTGTCACCGTCGACCACCATCGACTACCACTAACCATTGTCGACCACCATAAGTCAGACGCTACCGATCGTTATGGGTCGTCGTCTGTTCCTTACAATTAGTTCCTCCGTGCATCGACGTTATAACTCAAGAGACTTTGTAACAATTTTCTGCCTTTGGGACAACGGGTTGTACTTGCAATCTTTAGTTTATAGTATATCTCTTCAGTTGGGTCAGACATCGTGGTTTTTTCCCTTTACAGTTTTTCCACGTAAAAACTTCTGTTGTCACTACTGGTTGTTTTTCTTTTATCAAAGTATGTGTTTGAATTCTTGTGCAAAGTTAAGACGAAAATCTATTACTCTACCACTACGAATCTTCTAGTGCACATCAGTTTGGTGTCGTTTGTGGGAAAAGAGTATTCTCACCACTAAAATACTTGCGAGATTTGTTGCATGGTCACCAGGCGCAACACTCACAACAGCAGAGGATCCCGCTCTAGCACCTATCATACCAGATGTCATTCACGGAGCCAAGGGCGTCAGGTCTCTGCATCCTCCTACTTCAGAAGACATTACCCCTAGTGACAAAGGTGTCTTAGGCCATTATCTCGAAGATTGAGTACGCAGAATGGAAGAGTCCCAACATGAGATCCTTGAGCTCCTACGACAAACAATACCCACGCACCTGGACTGTGTTTACCCCCATTCATTGGGTTCTCTCCTGGTGATGAACAATTCCTCGCCAAGATGGGGAACTGATCTTCTGAACATTGCAGGTTCCAATCATTCGTCTCATGCAATTCACCTAACACAGCCCCACCTTACTGTTACCTTTGTTGATATCATCCTTGATGAGTTACGACGCTTAATTCGATAAGAGTTCCCTCTGAATAGAAGTAATTGCTTCCCTACTCGCTGCAACTTCCCAGAATCCTCTCCTTTGACTGACACGGTTCTTCGACACCTTATCCAAGTGGGCTTCAAACTCCTGAATATCGATGATTACAAATAGGTAATTGACCCATACAAGCACGTCGACCACAATCAAACTAGCATTCATATTCACCATTCATTTGATGTGCTTCTCTCTCAAGTGTTCCCTACGACCTTAAGGGACAGGCCCACATATGGTTCTACTCCCTCCCGGGGCCATCATCAAGACCTTCAATGAACTTGTTTAATCATTCGTAGAACGACTCATAGCAACTAGAAGAATAATCAAAGATTCATCTCCCTTATCAGGAGTTCGACGAAATGAGGGAGAATCCATCAAGAAATACTTCCACAGGTTCTCCACTAAAGTCCATCATATTCTAGGAGTGGATCTAGAGTTATTGAGAGGAGTCTTTCTTGAAGGGATTCGTCAGGACCTTTTTACTCATCACTAATGTGGGAGATAGATCGCTCTTATGTGATATTGATCATTGTATCAAAGCTCAAATCTCTGCAGATGAGGCCATCAGTGCATGCAAGGAACAATTCGAACGATTTGGGGCAAGTGCAAGAATAATGCTAGAGATACCGATAAACTCTCAGAATGAAAAAAATTCAGACAACTGAGGAACCATGAGCCACAATAAGAAAAAGATAACTGTCACTCAACACGTCATA